CCTGGCCCCCCACAGCCTTAACGAGGGGGGAGGGGAGGGGAGGGGAAGGGGACGTTGTTTCGCGGGTTACGAACGAACCGAGGCGAAACACCTCCGACCGCAACGTCCGTGTTTTTGCGGGACGCGGCACAGTTTCAGAGGAAAGCGAAACTTTTTAGGGATCGATTCATAATTTTCCCCCGTCGGCGCCGCAAACTCGGCCCTCATTTAGCCCTTTTTTGCGCCCCGACCGCAAGATCCCCAACGCCTTCTCCAACGCTTGTATTCATTAGATATATCGCCCTACTCTTCGAGGCGAAAGGTATGTATAATCGCGATAATCGATACCCGTTTTCTCGAATAATTCGCCACGATCGGTTTGGATCAATTATGGATCGTCGAGGTAACTGCGTTATTGCAGAAATTTACCAGCCTACTTACCTTGCACGAGGGTTTTTCTTTTCTTTTTGACGATTAATGGGGGGTGGTTTTCGATCGATCACACGACGTCTCATAGGATAAGCACAAGCTTGTACTGAATTATATTCTATTATCACGGGTTTATAACTTCTTTTGTAACGAATAAGAAGTTTTAAAGGCAGGAGAGCGAAATGATATATAGTCAAGTAGAAATTTAATTTCACGAAATACGAGCTTGTCGCAACAGATCGATTCATTTTGTGATTCGTATGATTTTCCAATTATCACGCAAACGTAGCATACTAGTTGTACTATCCTATAATATAATACACTGAATAAACTTCCTTTGCAAAAATCCTTTTTTCTTCTTTTCTTCAACGTTTGAATTGAAATTCATATTAGCTCGCATATTATGGATCGCTGATTAACAACTGGCTGGAAAAAATTATCCACCACGAGAAAATAAATAAGTCAACTCGTTCATCATCCTCCTCTTTACCTCGTGAAACGTAAAAACATATTTCTACGTTTATACATTTTATACATATCTATACAATGCTCGGAGCATCCGTCAAAATCATCCTCGAAAATCTCGAACAATGTCCCGGACTCAAGCGTCGGTTGTCGCAACCTGTACAATAAGCCGGGACGAATCGAACGCGGCGAAACATCTTATCAGGGGGAGGGTAGGAGGAGGAGGAGGCGAGGAGAGGCTCGTGTCAAAACATATCGGTTATATTCCCCGAGATTTGTCTCGGGACAATTGACAGATTTGTAGGGAGGAGGCGAGTTTCTCGAGACAAAAGGGCCGGGAATATCGTTCTCTC